CCAGCAGTTACAGGGTTACTTGTATCCTAATATCTGTGTGACAATACTGAGCACTGTTTAGGGCAGGGATAGCGAGGGCAACAGGGGGAATGATCCAATGTTACTATAATTTAAAGAGTTGTACTAAACACCAATACAACCTTGTATTAACGTCCGCCCTGCACCCAGTTTCAGCGCCGGGAATGGCGGATAACTGCAGTATTTTGTAAAATTCACACAGCTGTAAGCCAGCCACTCAGATCTGTCAATCAGCCAAATTAAATGATGTGTTTTGGAGCCTATATCGATCTTGTCCCAGCTGTGAGTGTGGCACACTCTCTCTAGACCCACAACTTGGACTTGTTTCACGACATGTCCAACATATCTGCGCAGCAAACATTCTGAGGCCAAACCCCTTTCCTGGGTGCAAATATCACCAGCCTGCCTGCCTGTCTCTTCTCAGTTTTACATCAGATTATATGTTAATGGGGGGCTGTTGGTTCTCTGAACATGTAATAAAACACTGATAAGCACAAATAACTTGTCATCCATCTTTGTTAAGTGAAGCTATGTTTTCATTAAATTTGTAATATAAATGTAGCAAGTGACATCTTAATACAGTACAATTCTGACACATTTAAGTGATCTATAAAGTGACACTTTTTTCCTAAAGACAAAATTTATAGTGTGAAAAAATTATTCTGCTTTTCTGACAGAAAAAAAAAGTGGTGGAAATATTCATAAATCTGTTACAAATTGTGATTTATCCAAATTTTGGGCGATTAGTACAACATCCAAATTCTGTAACGTGGAAACCCCATACGACCGAATCGAGAGGAAAGGTTGATTTTATTTTACCGCTCCTCTTGTTTTTCCTCTATTGGTTACTTATTCGCATGTGATCTATGTTTATACCTTTCCGCAGCTTTTTTGTTTATCTGAACGTTTTTTCCCAAATCGTTTGCATGGACAAAGTTTGTCTGGACTTGTGAATGAATTTGTGACGACCCAAACTCCGTTTTTTTGGTTTTTTTTGTACAATCTGATTCAGTCGAAGTTTTTGTGCGTACATAAGTCTAATGGCAGACCTGTCACTTGCTGTGAGATCACATGAGATAAACATGCATATTATTAATCATTGCAAAATATTTATCTCAAGAATTAGACATTTTAAAAAGAAAGACTACAGGGACAGGGTCTTCACAACTAAAACACATAAGTAAGATGTTTATGGTGGTTAATATGAATATTAGAGGATTAGAGAATATTAGCTGTATAAAATGTTAATAAATCGCCTAAAATTTCTCAGAACAGCCCTGCCTTTAGCCACTCCCCCACTCACACTCATAATAGCCCTGTCCCTGGCCACTCCCCCACTCACACTCAGAACAGCCCTGCCTTTAGCCACACTCACACTCATAATAGCCCTGCCCCTGGCCACTCCCCCACTCACACTCAGAACAGCCCCGCCCCTGGCCACACTCCCCTAGTGTCAGGCCTCCAGCCAGCTTACCTGACGATTCACATCCTAGTGCCACTGTCTCCTTCAG